GACACCCTCAACCCCCCCGGCCTCCCCCCCTCCCCAGGTACCCCCCCGCGCAGCCTGCCGGGGGGCTCCGCCACCTTCCCCCGGGGGGCTGGGGACGCGTGCTCGGCTCACGCGGCAGGCTCCCGGGGGTGCTCCCCACCCCGAGAACACGCCGGACGAACCAGCCGTGCACCTATCCCCACCGAAATCCCTCCTCCCGTGGCATCACCGCCTTTGCGAGCGTGGCAATGCTCTCGGCTCCTACGAAACAGCGGGGAGCAGCTCTGCCCCGCCGCGGCAGTGCTCGGCCGGGAGCCCTCTCCCGCGGGAGCTGCTCATCCCCGGGCTTCTCTTGCTTATTCTCTCTTCCTTCTCCCTTCTTTTCTCTTCCCAGCTCAAAGCCCCACGGTGGCAGATCCCCTCCAGCAAGCCTACGCAGGCATGCAGCACTATGCAGGTCTCAAACTTTGCTTTGCACTTCTCCCCTCTCGCCCCTCTTCGCTCCTCACCCTTATTTTTGGGGGGGTGAGCATCGCCTTTGGGGCTGGCTGGGGTTGAACCACAGGACTAGGGCAGCGTGCTTGGGCAGGGCTTAACGCGGTGATGCACCGAGTGCGGTGTGCCGTACCCTGGGGCAGCGATGGGGGTGACGTCGATGCAGAGCGCCTTCCCCTCGTCCCCAGCAATGCGGATGTGCTCCCGGCACGGCCCTCCGTGCAAATTTTGGATGGAGGAAAGTGAGTTCTAATGCCCACTGGGCTGAGAGAACTCCGTGAGGGAGAGCTGGCAGCGGTACCCAGGAGAGGGGGTGAGGTTTGGGCGGTGATAGAGAGCCAGCTCGACGCTGGTTCCTGCCGACATGCCAGCCCACTGGTAGAGACGGCCTTGGAGGCACCGAGACATCAAAAATTGTCAGATGTTTGTCACGTGGCCGAATCCGATGGCCGGGGAGATGGGACGTGGAGAGAAGGGAGTCAAAGCATCCAGTGGAAGTATGTTGAGCCTGGCAGCCATTTAATTAGGAGCTCTAACAGTGATTTTCAGATTTTCAACAGAAAATCAAGTTTTGGACCCCCAATTGTTGCTTTTTTTCAACCAAAAGTGCCGGCTTTCCTCAACCTTGAGGCCATATTACTGCTGCCACCAGCGTCCCTCCTGGGAGAGCCATTGCGCACCGGGCATGCCGGGAGACCTGGGGCC